ATCCCGTCTGAGGGATGTGCCCACGCATTCGACTTCCATTCAGAATCGGAGTGACGTATTGAATGCATATGTCGCCTTACAATGACTTGCGGTGGCCAGCCAATGTACAAGTCAGAGCTGTTATCCGCCCAGACGAGTCTGATACCGGTTCTCCGATCCCTGAGATACGGAAAGCTTGGTTAGCCTAGGCGGCCATTCGGGATTCGAACCCGTGACCTGTGTGGATGAAGTGCGCCACTCCCCACTGCACCACTTCCACTCCTACACATGTCAGTTCATATCTTGTTGAAGCTGAATTAGAATTTTCTAGAATTTTGCTGATTGGCTAAGAAGATTGTACCGTTCAGAACAGTAGTCGTAGTGGTGGGACGCTATTTCGTTCAGAGAGCGCAGACTGAAGCAGAAATATGCTCAATTCGACCGCGAAATTCGAAGTATGTACAAACTGCTCGAGGACCAGTCTGGGCACTTACCCTGGGTTTATTTAGTTGGTTTTCGGTTTTATTTCTATTTTTATTTGGTTTTTCTATTTAGTCTTTTCTAGGCGCCTCAAAGGTCCGATTCTATAAATATGAACAAGGCTGGTGACAGCTGTGACACCGCTCCGCGCAGGCTCCGCGTCGCTGTTCCTCGTCGCATTTCCGTGAAACAAGGCAAAACAAGTTGGTTTAATGTAGAGCACTATGTTAGGGATAGGTATCGATTGCCGCCTGTCATGACCTCCGCCCCGGTTTCGGGAGCGTCCGTAATGTGCTGCTTCGTGATCTGGACCCTTTGACAATGCAAGCCATGACCTATTTATTCTTCGAGTCCCCTTTAATATACTTATTTTCGTTTTCTCCTTTACTGGTTCATAAGTTTTATGGGTAACACCACCTGTTTTTTGTAATTCTTGAATTATGTCTCTCAACATTTTTTACAAGCATCATCAGCAATTCGTGTGAAAAGTAGCAATTTTATTTTTTTTTCACTCCGAAGGATTAGCACCAAAATGGACGGCGATAACAGCAGAGGTTAGTCGCTTCATCGTTACGTGCTCAGGTTATCAAATTTAACTGGGAGATGTCGAATACGCTGCTGTTTATCGTTACCCAACCAAAAAATTATGTAAGCAAGTAAATAAAGAATATGTTGGTGATTGCATCGAACAAAAAGAAAAATGTTCAGAAAGTACAACAAGACAGATGTTTGTCCCTAACGTACCTGCCACAAAAGATCTTGCGGACAATCGTTCAGGAAACTCAGAAGAACCCCTTAATTTGATATGTGAAAGCGAATCAAATGCAGAAAGTGAAAGTAGTAGTGAGGAGGTGAATTGTACGAGTTTTTTTTTCTCCTTGCAAGGTTGTAGATGACGTGGTAAAGGGAACTTGCTGTTTTTTAGCTCGTTACTATTTTAGGAAATGCATCCAGGTTTGATAGATTTTGAAGAAATGAGTAAAGGCATGGATAAAGCAACTGCTCGAATTCGAAAACATCTTCACGATGACACCCATATTTATTCGCCGACTGAACAGGTAATCATTCATTACACTTCATCGCCTTATCTCATTTTTGTTGTCTCTTTTGGTGGAGCGAGCCTGACTAGTGGAAGTGATCATGCATGTTTATCATTCTTCAAGAAGGAAACATGATGGAGGAACCCGCCTGATTATCTGTACTGAGACAGAAAAGCTTGCTCAGATCCAGGCTGGCAGGATCCCCCATTGTCGCGTGACGGTAATGAGATGCTTGGGATTGGTCGCTACAAAAAAGAGACCTTGGGCTGCTTTGATGGTTGCATGAATACTGTCTTATACAGTATCACAGGATAGTTTTCGGAGCACCAATAGTAATTCCTGATTTTTACTAATAGTTAGTCCATGAGAGACAGCTTTTTTCGAAGCTCTCTTGAAAAGTTTTCTATTGTGTTGTTGATTTTAGATATAGCTACCTTATTAAATTACTTTGAGCACAGAGTTGAGTAACAGAAATTGTTTTGGATAGTGCGAACTTCGCATATTTATTGGAGCAAAGAGGATTTCCCATGCAAGCCCACTGGCTCCCACTGTTTCTACCCTGTCTGGCCATGTTCCAGCTTGAAATCAAGACTGACAGATGGAACGACTTATCACTTCATTCCCGGGCATGCTCCGTCAGGTTCAGTCCTGACGGAGCCTGACGTGTCTCCAGTCCCAACCAATTTGCATTTTTTTTTCAAAACATTTTTCAAAACAATTACTGCTTCCATTACTCATTTTTCTTTCTCATTGTGGTTTAAGGGTAACTCTGAAAATGAATAGGGCGCAAAGTCTGCTTTCCTCTGCACTTCGCTTTTTATGTGATCTGTCAGGCATTCGAGCTGTTCTCATCTCTTTTCCAGTTCCTCTACAAGGCAATGGAGAGTGACCAGGGTAGAATGACTAGAAGTCGAACGAAAGCTATGATGGATGCCACACCGCTAACGGCCACTTACACACCGAAACAGCCGCGTCGTAGTCCACGAAAAACTAAAAAGGCATTTTACTCGGTATGTGTTGCAAATTCCAAAGCTTTCACCTGATCACTACATTCTCTGTAAACGGTTTCATTACGTATGAGATTTTTTCATGGTGAAGATACCAACAAGTGCATGCCCGTCATAACATTCCAGAAGTGTTTCGAATTCAGGACGAAGACCCCGATGATCGTGCACTTGCTGAGTTTTTGGAGCAATGGAGAGCTGAATCATGCTCAAAATCTCGTAAGCGTCGTAGTACGAGTAGCAAAAAAACCGGTAGAAGAACAGGCTGTCCCGATTCAACACAAAAAAAGTCTGGAAAGGTCAATTCTTTCCTCCAATTTTCTTAACGTTCTGAAGATCTTTGTTCATTTAGCTGATAAGATGTACGTTCAGGCCGAAGAACCTTCAGTTTTTGAGTGTACTTGCAAACGTCGTAGAGGTCGACCTAGAAAAATTAGTTTCAGCAATGCTTCTTGTTCAAAGGTTATTTCTTCCATCTACTCTCAGCCACCAACTTTTCTGTTCTCAATTTCAACAACCTTCCTTTTGCAGGAACCTAAAGTCATCGCTGAGAATGACCTCGGTCTTGGTGTACACTTAGAATGTGAGCCTCAAGTTGCATGCATTGTTGCTCCGCCTGTGAGTGGTTGTATCTGATTCTGACTACTGTTCATATCGTTTTGATGCTCGTTTAGAAAGCGTGAACTTTTCTATTTACAGTTGCAGGATCATGACGATGATATTGTAGTCCTGTTTGACAGTTGTGGGAATTCGGGCACACCAGTTCCGGAATATATGCCCCATTCCGTCGTGAGCATTTCCATCTTAGAGCGGATCCCACGTTGATGTTTTCACAACTCATGTTGTTGTTGTTGTTCACTTTCAGTACGGGATCGCCGAAAGCCGTTCTGAAGCAGATGTTGAAGAAAAAACTCCAGACATAAGTTTGTCCACTGATAGATCTGGTCGCCGCTCACTCAAAAATGTAAAGGTCATTTCCGCTGTTATCTTGATGTTTCTTTAACGAACTGTTCAGAAGCAACCAACTGAGCCTAAACTCAGACAAAATATGAAAGGCAAAGGAAGAAAAAGAGCTCAGGAAGAATTACTCACCAGCGCGGTGATTTGAGATTTCTTTTACTCTTATTCGTTAATTCATTCCTTTTGGAATTTGCCATGTAGATATGTGTTTCTTTGCTGAACCTTATATGGTTGGTCGTGTAAGGTTGATTCCCGTTCCTTCGAGCAACTCGACCTTTCCAAGACTGTTTGCTCCAGAGCGCTTGTTTCGCAACTTACACATTTAGGTGCTTCATCGTTCTCGATTGAGCAAGAGCTGCTAAAAAAAGTAATGATGCGAATAAACGGTAAACCTCTCGAAGGTATATCAGCGTATTTTGGCAACGTTTCCTGGGCTACGTCCTGCTCTGTGTACATCTCGTCAGAAGCGAGCCATTATTGACAAATAGTGTTTTTAATGTGGGAAGCATTAGGGTCCTGCCATTCACCCAGTGACCTACAGTCCGGAATAAGCTTACATTCCGCTCATTCCGCTTTTTCAGCTCAGAAGTATTTGTATCGTCACTGTAAATTTCATGAACAAGAAGCTATATAGAGCACGTTTTCCAGCCATACCTCAGGCAAGTGGCAGTGTAGTTCTATGTGGTGTACTGCTGTAGTTAAACTAACGTGCTAGCCAGAGGCTTTATGTACAACGTATTTAGTTTTGAGGATGTTCACGTGTAAGCGATGCGTGCATTGTTTTTGAGCCGTTCATTATGGCGACATCAGTACGCAGCCTTCGCGGTTACCCTCATCGAACAGTATTTGCGAAATTTACAACAATTACGCTCTCTAGCTTCTCAAGCAGCTTTAGTTTCCTGGAGACCTCGATTTGCTTGAAACGGGAAACAACTGAGCAGATTTATCCTTTTAAACACCTACGGCACAACGGACAATCACATTTCCTTTCTTTCTTTATTTCAACATGTTTTTTTTTGCCTGTTTGCAGGCACCCACTTATCGTTTTCAGGATGTTTCACACTCATCCTGTGATACTGAAAGCGCGAGTGTATGTATCCCGTCAACCGATGATCCTCACACTCCTTCAACATCGTATGTAAGTGTATCTACATGTAAATAAGGGCTAGATCTGATGCTGGCAAAACTCTAGGTATTTAAAGCGATCTTCCCCAACTTCGCAGTGAAGCCGACTGTCCTCCCCTATCCGCTACTAACCATTTCTCTTTCTGACTGCTGAGTTTTGGGGTAGGGAGTGATGATCAGGATTAAGGCACAAATCAAGGAGTCACAGATGGAACCGGTTTTAACATATTCATTTTGACCCTCATCCCACATCACCTCTAAAACTAAAGCCTCCCTCATTAGTTCCAAGGTAGGAGAAGGCAACTTTTATAAACGTTTAATCTGACCCTTTCACTGCTACTCTTCCACTTCCACATGTCTCTCAGGAACTTGCCCTAGTGTTAACCCTTCTTATATCTGTAGAGGAAAATAGAAACGAATGAAGTAAGAACTTCTCCTACACAGTGTCTTTTCGTTGCTTATACTGTATTTCACATTTTTGGCAGCTTTTACATGGTTAAGTTTTCAGTCTTCGAAAAGAAAGCGTATCAACAAGGATAGAGTTGGTAGCAGCAAGCTCCAAAAGAGGCGTACCACGAGAAGAACAAAAAGCGTTGAATTGGTAGCTGACAACCCCATGGAGAAATCAGATTCTACTTCGTCACTTGCTGAAGTATGTTTATCAATGCGTTTTGTTCCGCATTGACTAGTGGTGATACATACTTCTGTCTCAGTGGTCGTGTAACGGGTAGTGGTGATTATGCAAGTAAATGAACCGATCTACCATTTCTTTCGGGAAGATTTGTGCTTTGTTATGGCACTAAACTCAAAAACTACACTGCCAGCGAGTTAGTGCGACGGTCATATGGGTATAGGGCCGAAAATATGAGCATGAACCTTTTCCATAAAGCCTCTCCCTCGTGAGAGCAGCTACATTAGGAGCTATTCAACGTTACGCTAAGGGTTGTACGTAAAGGAAGATTTACGTTGTGACCTAAAGGAATTCACTCATGAGCACTATGACATGGCATTGGTTGCCCACCGTCATTGTTTCCACGATTTCTGAGGTATGACTTTGGAATGCTTTATAACCACTAATTACATGGGAATTCTCATAGGCAGAGCTTTTGGTTTCCGTGATATAATAAATAACAGTTGTGAAAGTATATGAGAGCTTTTCGAATGATTCGATTCATGAAGGTGTACGGGTTCAGGTGAGGCCAAATTCGACCGCATGACAGTGAATTATCAATGTGATTTTCGGAATGATTACAGCGTGACATAGTAGTATTTTATTCCACTTTTCCTAAAAACATTCCATTTTCTACGGGGAGCACGGGATAACCTTCAGGATTGGCATCGTGACCAAGTTTTGGCGAGACCACTTCGAGGTGCTTCTAATCTTCTCTTGTGCTCTACATTTATACTTCATACTTTGATCCTCACTCAACTGCTGGCGCTCACTGAATTCTATGTTCAGGAAACACGCACATTAAATGAATCGCCGCTGGCTGTTAGATCTTCCGGTGAAATCAAGCCGCTCACATCGGTTTGAATTCTTCTGCTTCAGGCTTCGTTGAAAATTTTCAACCTCTTGATCAGAGGTTCTTTGATTTTAGTGCATTTAGGAGAAAGCCATTGCGAACACTGATGCAACAGCGTCTTCTAGTAACAAACAGGACAACTTGCGTCCGGAAAAACCACATAACACTACTGATTCACAGTCAGAAGGATGCAAACAATCAAAGGTCTGTTGAAGGTAACACTGTTAGATCTGAGAAGAGTTGTGAACCGAGTTAAAATCACCGTCTCCTTTCTACCCCGTGAATTTGTCTGACATAAAAAAATGGCAAATTATGACTTGAGACAGAAAACACATCCCTTCTGAACTCTCTCTTCATTCGTTTCACATGTGAAGGTCAAATCACGGAGTGGGTTGAAGACGTTCTGGCTCCTTGGTACCCATCCTTTTGATACAAGTCATCCTAACAGGTTCTCGTGATATTCTAGTGCTTCTACCTTAGCGAGTTGAGAACCAATGTTATAGGTAGTTTTCCCTGAAAGAATGCATACAAGTAGTTGATGTCCTGGAAATTCCTTTTTGAAGATGGTTGTTTGTTTAGCGTTCACCTCCATCAGAGTGCGTGAGTGCGTCTTCGTCAGTCGTAGATATTGTAGAGCTAACTCTTAGTAAGCAACAGGAGATTGAAAATGCCTATTCCAGCTCTCGTTCCAAGGTGAGATTTTTTTTGAAAGTAGTTTCTCTGTTGAGGGATTCTTCTATCAAAAAACGATTTCAGCCGCAACGGGTGATAAACACTAGAAGATATATAACGAATAAGGAAAGTAAGTGTTCTTCGAGTTCTCGTGATAAAACATTGTTTTTTCGAAATCACTGGATTTCATTTTTGTGTGCAGCTGCAGAGAAGGCTTCTAATACATCACCTCCTGCTGAGAGTGTCAAACCAATGGATGTGCAGCAGATGCTTAACAGTAAACTTGTAGGTTTTTACGTCCGAGATACTCTCGAGTCTCGAGTTTTCGAGTTTTTTTTTTCTTTGAAACCGGAAAAACAACTCATATGGACCTCTCTACTGTTTCTGGTGCAAACAATGGTTTGAGTTTGCAATAGATGTTTCCACCTCTATAATTTCATACGGTTTTGTTTGAAAAAAAATTTTGTTCCCAGTGTTTTCCATTCATATGAAACTTCAAGCCGAATAGGATACTCAGAACATTCTCGCATAAGTACTAGTAGCTTTCTTCTGATATTTTTCTGGTTCGCTCTAATTCAGGTAACGACTCTGAGCATTGCTAATGCTCAGTTGCTGCCAGTCACCCAAACTGATCTCTACCAAAATTTCCATTAGGACTTTGAGGCGCCTACACAACAGTCCCATCTGCTTCGTTATGATTTGTCTTTATTTTAATCATGCATTTGAATCGCTGATTGATGTTTTGAATACGGTCCCGATTTCGCTATGACAACCTGCCTCTTCATCAAAAAAGCGATGAATGACTGTGATTAGTGAACAAGACGATATTGCTGAAGAATTTTCAGTCAGATATAGCGATGATAAGAATGATTTGAGAAAGCAAGGCGTTCAATGGCCGCTCACCTACCAGGACCAATTACATACTCACCTTTCCAAGAGATACGTGATGAAATGTATGAGGATGCTGTAGCTCTGTATGCACCCGAACGTCCTTCCTTTGACCCTGAGGTAGGAGAGTTGATGATCAACTTCACTTTCAATGCGACTTCACGTGCATCTCTTCCTTGGGGTAATTTTTCAAGGAACTGATAAATGCTGTGAGAACTGGCGACGTCAGGAGGTTTCGTAGAGCGACTGAGCATTTTTGCGCTCTTAATGTAGGGATTGATTATGGTGGTATGATTTACTCGGTGATCTCCAAGTGGAGGAGTGAAAATGGCGGAACACTGATTCATTTGGTAGGTTAAATATTTTTGTTGTCGTATTTTTATTAATTCATTTTTTTTTCGCAATAATGTTGCTGTATCAACTAAAGTCTCTTCCTTTTGGTACTTCCGTTCACATAGAGACGTTTCCTGTTGCCTAAGCCATGATTCTATAGAAAATCGTTCTACTCGGTCTTTCGCTGAGTCTAATCCTTCAGTGATTATTTTCAATGGTGATGTGATCTTGTGTGATGGGATTTAAATCCCTGCATCCATTCGTCTATTTCTTATCATAATCACGGAGTTTTTTTAGAAACGATGTATGCTGCGCTACATCTAACAACACATTTTATTCGGTTTTCATTCCTTGCGATTGTTTGAGTTTCTTCAGATCTGTCGTAATATTATATGCACCAAAACCCATGAAAGTGATGATCTCATAACTGTTCTGGCGAAATGGGCACCAGAACTATTGCGTGTACAGGATGCGTTTCTCAAAATTCCTCTTCATATAGCAGTCGAAGGGGGCGAAGTCAGTTTTTTCCAAACATTCTATTCACCTCTGTTACTATTAGTAGCAAAGGGATAATTGAGGTTTGCCGCGTTTCCACGTTGCTGCAGCTGGGTTCACCAGTATGCTGGAAAGATAAGAATGGTCTGTCGCCATTAGAGATAGCTTATTCTTTCGGGAACGGATCGGTGCTCAAATTGCTTCTGAATTCGGGCGCAACATTCCATGAGCTATTGGCGAGTGAACAGAGGTAACTTTTCTTTGCTATGCAAACAGTGAATACAACGAATTCAAGTTGTGAAATTCCGACCTTGATTTTGATTATTTCCTTTTTACTGGTCATTACTCAGGTTGCCTCCATTACGAAGGGGGCATCTTTTCAAAATGTTAGCAAGGCATTCTGGAATTATCAGTGGGATTATGCGAAGCGCTCGCAAAAGGATTCTGAGGTATGTATTATGTTCTTCATTTGGTCGCTCATCCAATAGTAGAAATGCGAAATTGTGCGGATTATTGCGGATCAAGGATTTTAAGCCATTATAAGCGACGCATATGACCTTTGGTAAGGTACTTCATAGTTTTTAAACAATGCGTCTATTGGTGTCATCAGAATTTTGATACTTTCCACGAGAAGTCTAGCTTGCATGGAATCAGTGTAGGTTGTTCACATCTGCTGAATGATTTAATACGCACGAGCTCATCTGGATAGGGTTGTCGACACTCTTTGATATCCTGTCACTTTTGAAAGCTGTATTCCTTCGTCATCATAGACAACTTGTGTTACTTAGGAACATCTTCGAGATAGCCTCGTTATCACCAGTGTTCATTGCGCCATTCAAAGACGGAGCTGATCCCATTTTTCGGGTAGTTGAGTGTTTTTCTTTCTTTTTTGTTGAGAGGAAGTATTTGGTGAGTATATTTGTATCGATCCCCATATCTACTGCTATTTTTCAACAGTTTACCTTTTCGCCATCTGGTGAGGAAAGTCTCGACAGAAATTCAATGCAATGTCCTATCCTTTTCACATATCTGGCTGTAAATCGTCCTGAAATAGGGAAAAGGGGTGTGGAGGTTTGTGCTTTTATAATATTCATTTAAGTTCATTTTTTCTGTTTTACTTCATTTTCTCTTTTGCTTTGCAGTGAATGGGTTTCACTACCAGCTAGTGACTACAAATGAAGCTTTTCGATCCTGTTTGCAGTGGTCTTTCCGTTGTCATGGTCCAATCCTCCGTTTCGCGCCAACGCTTAACGGACGTCTATTGAAACCCTTGACAGGAATGGTACAACGTGGTGTCCAGACATCGGAACTGCTTGGCGATACCTTTGTTTTCCTATGTCCTCTACAAAGTGGTATTAACGTGTTGTCTTTCAAACTGCATGAGTCCTACGCGTGAGTTGTACTTCGATTGTTATTTGCTTTGACAGTTCTCATTACAATAGTGTATTTTGATAGGTAACTAATGGTTGTTCAGTGGAGTGCAGCCGAAATTCTGCTATTTTTTCCTCTACCGCGTTGCAACCTCTATAGCTTTCACTTTTGTCGTTCACCTGTATTTGTGAAAGCGTTCTTTCAAAACCTTCTATGAGTTGCTCATATACACCCCATACACTAATCATCGTAGGGGGAGCGAAATTAGTGTCGCCTCGAAGGTTTCCGAAAGAGGCAGTGGGTCCTGGTTTAAATCTATGGATATGATGTAACAGACTCCGATTTCTTCATTTCATCTCTAACCTTCCCGGTTTTCATTACGAATCGTCGGGTCCTTCTTGGTGTCTTGTCTCTCGTCTTTTGTCTTTCCTTCAGTGTGTCTGTTTACTGTATTACAGAATCTAAAAACTTTGAAGTGTGACTCAGAAAACTTGGAATGGGTACAAGAAAACTCGGTACTATTCTACTATTACACCCCCAAAAACTCAAAATCTCAATTTTCGATGAAACTTCACCTATAGGGGTAATCCGATGCCCTGATAACGAATATGACCCTTATTTTTGGCGCTGGCGCCATTTGGCGCCAATGGTGTTTTCACCAAATTTGCTGAAAACTTGCGTTTAGGGGTTATTTGAGGTCCTGATAACGGATCTAACATTCATTTTTGGCGCTGGTGCCATTTGGCTCCAATTGGCGCCAATTTGGCGCAAAATTGGCGCCAATTGGAGCCAAATGGCGCAAACGCCAAAAATGAAGGTCATATTCGTTATCAGGGCATCGGATTACCCCTATAGGCGAAGTTTCATCGAAAATTAAAATTTTGAGTTTTTGGGTGTGTAACAGTAGAATAGTTCTGGGGGTGTAATAGTAGAATAGTACCGAAAACTCATCTATAAGAGATATTAAACTTTCTTTCAACTTCGTTATCAGTTTTGAATTGAAAACTAGCCTTGCTCAAGTATCGTACAGAAGTGATGGTGGAAGGAAACGTTTGAGGCTTTTGGGAGGATAGACACCTACTGTCGTGCCGTTCGGACGACTTAAAGGACGGCCTGGCGTGGCGCGCCCGTAGTCCCGCCGGGAAAGGCACCGTGCGCTGCAGATAGCTAGAGTTTGCCACGTGGCGGCGGACTCTAGCCACTTTCGGCGATTGCATCATTATTCGTTGCCGTCGTCAACGCCGTAGCCGCCTGTCCTCGACGTCTCCAGTGCTATTGGACGCCAACAACGCAAACTCCGATGGGCTCATAACCCCACAATTGTCTTCTTCAAGTGACGCCAATGCTGCGCAATATGGAGCAAGATGGAAACACCCGAATGGATGGTCCGCAACAACTAATGGATCTAGGAGCAGCACAGCCGAAGGGGGGTGGATGACTTGGATGGGCCCGAATGATGATGAGCTTAGATCGTACCCAGACCGTAGGTCAAGTGTGGTCACATTTGTGTATATATTTTCATGCTTTCTTCTCATAGTATTTTTCACATAGTAATTTCCCATTTATTCGTTTTTGACCATTCTCTTCACATCATACGTAATTCTTTATAAATAGTNTCGTACCCAGACCGTAGGTCAAGTGTGGTCACATTTGTGTACATATTTTCATGCTTTCTTCTCATATTATTTTTCACATAGTAATTTCCCATTTATTCGTTTTTGACCATTCTCTTCACATCATACGTAATTCTTTATAAATAGTGTATTTCTTACAATGTGTGCTGATAATACTTGGAATGTTGGTAACATCTATTGTATCGCAGTTATTCCTAGCGCTGGGGATAACCCACCATTGTATCGCAGTTGTTCCTAGCGATGGGGATAACCCACGTAAGCCATGGTTGGACCGTGCGCCCAGCGTCCGAGGGAGCTCGGCGCTGGGCTAGCAACCCCCTTTGTGTACTGCGGAGGCAGTACCAACCCGAGGTACCTGGCGTAGACACCGGAGCCGCAAGGCATAACATGCTCACGTGGCAGAGGGTGCCGAGCTTGCTAGCGCGCGTAAGACCCTGGTCGTCATCACGCCGTCCCGACCGCCAGCCCGAGCGATCCACAGATGCAAGGGGCGCTCGGCAGGGCGGCCCGGACGGTGTGACACGTACCAAATCTAGGACGTTATCACCCTACTTCAACACTCGCTAAGTGCACCCTACCTGGTATTTTTGACAGTGAAACCAGAAGTTTTCTCTTCACTACTTTTTTTTAGATTAAGCCCTTTCTTAGCAACCTTGTAATTAGTCAGTTCGCCTTTACTATGAGTGCCGCCTAAGTTTTTGATGACGGCCGTGGTTTCATAGCCTCTTTCCTTTTCTAATCGTAGAAATTTCTTTTACAAAACTTAGAATTCTTCAATTTTAGTGAAAGATAAAACAAGTTTAGTACCTTTCTTGTCAACATCCTTCTATTGGAGTTGTTTTCCGTTTCCAGATTCAAAAGAATTATGCTTGCTGCTCAAGTACTGATGATGAAGAAAACTAATACAGTTCCGAACTCTTCCGAGGAGTCGTCACCACGCTGAGGTGCTAAGAAACCTCGATGGTTGTTCATATTTGGAAGAGTTTTAGAGAATTTTACAATGCTTGTTCATTTCTCTCTTGTGGAGCAACGGTAACAATTATTAGTACGATTGGTTTTGGTTGTTAAGTTGATTTTTGTTTTCTATTTCCCCAACGGTTTTATGAGTTTATATTTTCTTTTTTCATTTCAAGAGGATGTTTTCGTCTTTAATAGTTACTGTCGCTGGCTAAGAATTTGGCCAATAACTTTGTTTGTTAGAAGTTTGTTGAGAACTTTGTTTTTGTTTCTTATCTTGTTGCATCTAAATTAAAAAGGTATAACAGTGGATGTTTTGTTGACAAGTGGTATAAATTCCCAAGTACTAATCTGGTCGTACTCCACAAAACTAACTACACGATTGGTTACTTAATTCGATGTGATGTTTATGGTTCGGTAGTAGTTTCACCCGTGTTCATGTAAATATTTAATGAAATAGGTGTTGCGGCATGTAGCTAATTTGACCGTGTGTTTTGCCTTGATGTGAAGTTTTATTGTGCCTTCTGTAGGCATCCTTTCCCAGCTGTAGTGAGAGCATTGATCGAGTATCGTACAATAGTTTTATCTTCTTTTTTCAATCAATTGCAGGATAGAAATTCTCCCACTATGCTAGAAGAAGCTGGAAGCGTCTCCGTCGGGTCTATGATTGATTCATGTACAAGCAGTATGTGCTAATCATCTCTTTTTAGCTTGACATCTTGGGCCTTGGAATTTTTTGTTGTTAACGATTGCTGTTGATAGTGTTCTGCCAACTACCAGTTTTAGCAACAACCTCAGCCAAGCGCTATACGGCCAAGAGGCTGGACCTAATCGTCAGGCAATCTTGGAGTGAGGAAACATGGTGCAGGATAAATTAAATAAATTCTGAGGCGGTCTGGAAAAGATAGATGAAATGAGCGGATACCGTCCAGCTCATGCAGCAGTGCCACCAATTGCCAGCCGGCTCTCAGCGATTTATCTCAAGCGCGCTTCCCCTCTCTTCTCCACTCGCTATGTGCATTGATGTTTCCTCTGTGTACAATTTCGTTACATGCTTTTTTCAGAAGCCTACAGTTCGGATAAAGAAAACATACCATCCATGCAGAGTGCTAACAGTGAAAGCGAGGTATATTTCTAAGTAATACGCTTCTCTTAAAACCTTCAGATCATTGGTATAAACTGCAATGTTGATTAAGGCCACAAATCATGGCGTCAGTGATACTGAGCTGATGCGAAGTGGCACAGAAAAGGCAGCAGATCGCACCCTGAAGCAACTACAATACGAGAATCACATCTACTCTCCTACTGAACAAGTGGGCAAGTTTCTGTCGGTGTTGAGAATTTGTACTTGTAGAAAGGTAACGTATAATTGTCGAGGTAAGGTCTTGGGTAAGTGCAATAGTTAGAGAAAGTTCATCGAGTTCTCTGTGATTGATCTACATATGTAGCTGTCTAGTGCTAGTGTGAGAACTTGCGTCAAGGATATAACGAGGTAGTAAAATGCCCCACAAGGTGTTCCAAGTGCAATAGCCAACAGCCTACTTACTATTAACTGCGTAATCGAACTGCAGCCTTGAAGCTGTGTTACGTCAACAAAATGCTCAGCCATGAGTAATGGATATGATGAATTTTCACTAGCTTTCTTTACAGAGAATACTTACCGTTGAGAATGATGCCAGCGAGTATTTCATAAACTCTTTTCCAGTTTCTCTACAAAGTTATGGAACTAGATACCGGAAGAATGACACGAAGTCGTACAAAGGTCTTGATGGAAAGTACACCACCGCGGCCTATGGCTACTAAGAAGCAGCTTTGCCGCAAATCTGGTATCCTCAAGAAGTCTTTGTCGGTGTGTAGTTCCTCTGGTTGGAATGTTCTGCGTTTTCAAAGCGGGTCTAACCTTAATTGTTTTAGGCCGACGAACGTATTCTTGGTTATGCAGAAATTTTGAAAGGATCTCAAAATGGCACATGTCAAGACGACGGGGAAAAATATCTAACAGAGAACCGACTAACTCCAGAAAGCTGCAGCTGCTCCGAGCCAACTGAAGAGATTTCCCATGTTGGAACTGTTTTCCCTTCTATCTCTAGTTTCCAGTACTTTGTCGGCTTGAGTAACTGTCTTCTGCTTATAGCGATAGTATTTCTCGATTCCCTTCGGTGTTACAGATTGCAACACCGAAGGGAATCGAGAAATACTATCGATATAAGCAGAAAACCCATTCATCGACTCTCTCACACCATCGTTATTACTATGACGAAGACGTCGGCGTTGAAACGATCATAAACCGGTCATTGGTTGACATCTTGCAAGTTGACGGTACAAAGCGAATGGGAGTAAAGAAAAGGTTAGGATGTGGCTTCATGTCGTGATTAAAAAAAGAAAAAAAGAGATAAGAAGCTCACTTCTCTTCTAGAAGTTGTTCTAGCAGACTGAGGAAGAACCGTTCCCGTATAAGAAGCAGAAAAAAAGGATGTGTGAGTGCACGTTCGTAGTGATGTGAATGAGCCTAGATGTCTCCCTCGTGAGTAACACTTCGCTTCGTTTTGAGATGGCGACATAGCGTTAGAAAGTCGCGCTAAGTACGACTATGTATGCTGACTTCCAGCAGGAGTTCTTTTGAAATGTGGTCTTTCACAATGTGAAATCGGGACAAGCTCTGGAATCTTGAGTCGTACAGGTTATAGGTGTGCACGTCAACCTTATCTCTTGGCAGTTGGGATAGTATCTCCACCTGTTTGGTGATAAGAACGGCAGAACTGCCACGTTAGGCTTCTGATAATCTTCATTTGGTGGTCACAATGAACAGGAATCGAGTGAGCCACTTAATCCCTTGTTACACGAGTGCCTTCCATGCCTCAGTTAGTACATCATCTGGGCCAATCGTCTTCTTAATCTTCACCTTCCCCATCAGGCTCTAGATACCGTATTTTGTCCAGAGTGTGAAAAGGCCAGCCGCCTTACTTCCCTTCACCTGGGAGGGGATTCGGAGCCTGTCGAAGCAGCCTTTCTTTGAGTGGCACTTATAGGTCATGAACAACGATTTTTGCCGATCAATTTCAAATCGACATTGTGGTGAAAACTTTCCCTCCAAGCGTTCTGGTAAATCTGACGAGAAATGAAGAGACAAAATTAGTACTCTTTTTCACGAATTTGTTCAGGCTACGGAAAACAGCACAGCGGTGGATATTTCTATCGTGGCAAAGGAAGTTGAAGAAGGTGTTTGTGCCTATTTACCTACTGACTGCTCTGTTTCTGTCAGTCATACATTGCCATTTAAAAAACCATATGTAATATATCCCACTATGAAATATTTCAGAAACTCCCTGGAGCTACCGGTAGCGGCGAGTTGTCCACCGAAGTACCTTCTGGATCGATTGACACCAAGTCAGCTGTGAGCAATTTTGGGAAGCTTTTTATCGACGTAATCTATTTTTCTGATCCAGAAAATCTGCAATATGATGGACCCAGCTTGTGAAAACATTGGAAGAAAGGATGAAGAGATGCCACTGGAAAATGTTTTTTCCCATTCTTCGACTGTACGTTTACTCCATGTCCATGTCAGACTATATTTTTTTTCGAGTGCAGGTAGCAGCACTTAATTGAACTTGGAAATAATTGAACTGGAAATTGTTTTCATTTGTATTCTTTTCGCATACCATTTTAGCGACTTATTTTCTGCTTTCACCATGATGTACTTATTTAGTCTTCAAGAAAGCGCACTCATGACTGGGATCATATCGGTGATCAAGATTTACAGCGAAGCGATGAGTCAAGAAAAAGAGCCCTAGTCCTGACGGAAAATGCTTCTGAACGGAATAATTCTTTTTCCTCGCTACCCTCTATTGTGAGTCTTTTACTCCATTTTTAAAATAAACAACGCTCGTGTGATAATTTACTCATTCTGAAGTCCCTGCTGTCCGATGACTAAACTATTGAGTTTCCAAACATACGGAAAACCATTTGCAAATACCCTATGAAAATGCCCTTGCAACGTCTTTTCGAAGAGTTTTTTTAAGAAGATGTGCCGTTTGAAAAAACTACCATGCCTTAAAATATTTAGATTTTAGTGGGACACCCAGAGGAGCAGAGACTCTTGAATTTGAAGTGGGTAACGTTGATTACATCGAGATGAAACCTGTTTGTCAGCATGGCCTTACTCCAACTGCGGTGCTGAGCTATTTTTTGAGATTAACTTTTCAATTGTTTCGTTCCTCGGAATTTTATTGACTTTCGCACTGGTAAACGTCGTAGTGCATCTTGTATGTTCGCGTAAACAGTGCCACTGCAGCTCTCCACTCCTTCGTCACCACTTAATCTAGTAAAACTAGTAACCCCAGAATTCCATGGACTGCATGGGTCCACTTTTTGTGCTTTTTCTCCTTTACACCGGAACTATTTTTGAAAGTGAGTTGTTCAGGTGTCGCCTGGGTTATCGTCTTCTGAACTCCTGGCCCAAACCTCTCCTCTTGTTTCGGTTAAAGTGCCACCAAGTCAATTTGTCCGTGAAGTACGTTAGATTCAAGATAGTTTAGATGACAATGCTCTTTCTGTGTACTAGTTCAAACCCATGCATAAAGGCAATTTTGTGAGATAGTCATTACAGATTTGTCATGGTAAACTGCCGAAAGTTTGATGTCTGGCTGTTTCAGACAGGTTCTTCATTTGACCACGGAATCTCCGCATCATCTGCTGGCAATTACCTCGACACTCTGGCAAACACTGCTCATATTCATAATGACCTCCAATCGCAACATTATATACTTTCAGAGGTTGGTATGCATGTCATAATTACATGCAACTCAAGTCATAATTACATCTGTGGTGGTATTGCCAGTGCTGGTTCACGAATTCTTGTTATGCAAAGATTTTTATGTAAATAAGTGTTGCCCTCATTCTTCTGTGGTGTCCAATTCGCTTCAACTCGTCGAACTTTTATCTGTCCGAGGCCCATTTAATCGTGCTAGGATAACATTGAAGAACAACTTACTAGCACGAAAACTAGCTAGCTTTCATTGATAATTATAGGTCAGAAAACTTCTTTAATTGTGTAAAGATTTCCTTCTTCAAACAATTGCTCCTTGAAGTCTGAGCCTTCAGTGCTGTTGTTTTTCCAGAAATCAGAGTCACTCCAGTGCTCACCAACACTCGAGGAATCAGATGCGTTCTTATCGGTTAATAGTGCGACAGGTGTTGTTTTTAGCAACAATCAGTATATGGAGTGCATTGGATGTGTGAGTCCATTAAGTCGACCAAAGAAAGAATCTTAGTATGTTTGGTCATGAAGTTTATACGGTAGTCACATATTTCCGGCGCAATCTATACATGCTCCTGTGCAAGATACACCACTGAATGAAGGTGTATCGCTCGTGCCAGATGTATCGTACCTACACAGCTCTCTGTACTATGATAATGAAGCTAGTGAGCAAGACGCGATCAATCACATTTCAGCGCAAAACCAAAACGATGATGTAAGCAACAAGCATTTTCCTAATGTGATTTCTCTTTTTACACTTTTCTTTTAGACTTTTCATTTTTCATTCTCTTTCACTAGATTTTAATTGGTTGATTGGTTGTAACGGTTATTGGCTTCGTGGTGGTATCAGTTAGGCTCTATTCACTTCAAAAAGCTGTATTTCAGTTGGTTACTACCTGTGTGTTTGAAATGCATTTGCACTGTCTTCTATATTGGAATATCTTTGATTTTCACCTATAATAACACTTGCCGAAACTGCACCGCCTCATTGTAAAAAAAACTTGTTTCGAAAAAATTCGAAACTAATTGGTTCTCATATCTAGCATGGTTTGATAAGGCGCTTGAATTAATCTGGTGGCTCGAAAGTATCGTAAACCATGTTGTTTATGTGGAAGGAAATAGCTGACCACTGCTTATTACCCCTAAACCTCGCTCGAACTACTCTCTCCTCTCCACCCTATTTTCCTCTGCATATCGCTTTCAGAATGCCTCCACCACTAGTTTCCAAGGGTAAAAGCGTAGAGACCAATTCAAGAAGTGGCACAGATATGGTCGCGGGCAATTAGATTGCTTTTGCTGTGGGGTTACTGTCGTGTAGTCATGAAACAACCGAGAAAGGGTACTGGTCACAATGTAATGTATTCTCGACTTGGAATTGTAGTGGCTTCCTAAAATC